ATTTATTTATGTGAGAAGATCTTCATTGGTGAAACAGGTTTAACTCTAAAGTGGTGAATAGACATGTGTGCCTTGTAGTGTTATAGTACTTGTTGTGTTGGTTTGTGTGCATGTAAATGGTCTGTAAAGGCTAAAATCCCCCCCGGCCAGCTAACCAATCAGAGCAGACTGGGCTCTGGTTTCAGAGGGTGAACAGATGTGTTGCAGCACAGGCAGTATGAGAAAAATAAAGACATTTTTTAACAATAAAGCACGGAAACAATGTGTAGAGACACAAAATAGAAATACACCCAATTCCTATGGTGGAAAAATAAAATACAAATGTTGTCCTTTTGGAAACAAATTCAATGGGGTCTATCATTTCATGTCATTATATATGTATATGTAAATACCTGCAGTGTATTTAGCCGATGTAACTAAGCCCTTGACTTGAATGTATTTTTCTAATCATCTAGTTCATTTTCTCAGCTGTGATCTTGTTGTGTTCATTAGTGGAAGATGATCACTGATGTAGTTTTGATATAAACAATGTTCTTAAATTATGGGTCTTTTTTTCATCTAGTGTGGTTGATAAGACATGTCCTGCATCTCACCACAGCGTTGGCCAATTAGTCAGCACAAATGTACTAAATGTACTAATATAGACTCCGTGTCTATATATGTATGTTAACAGCTCTGTCTGCTGCATTTGGAGGTTTTTCTACAGCTTGCTTTTTATTTGTAGGCTCCACTTCACCAGTCTGACACTCTCATTCTGTCTCTTGCACAAGTCTCGTCCATCAATACACGATATCGGGAGTGGCCAGGCCTAGTAAAAAAAAAAAAAAACGTATAGCTGTCTCGCTAATTCTTTTAAGAAGCAAAAAAAGCAGTGTAGCAGTAAACTCCTTTTCCATCCTTGATTTGTCTTAGAATCACATCATAATTAGAGACCATTTTCTTTCTCATTTAAACCTCTGTAATTCCTAATCCATTGTAATGTGGCCATTAATGGCTCATTTTTTACACTTGCTAAAGTCATTAGTCATTGCTAATTACCATATCAAATAGAGGAGGCCAGCCGGGGGGAATTCTAATGAGAGTTTAGTACAGCAAATTCTCGGGGAGCTGTGGGTGGAGATCATATAGCGAAGGATGAAGATCAGGATCTGACATACTGTAAAGAGATGGTCCAATTTGTTCTGCTGTCCATCATAACAGACACACATGAAGAGTTGAGTCTCTCTTATGTGTGAACACATTAGCATTCACTTCTTATAATGGCTACAATTTGGAGAAACACGCACACACGCAGGAGGAAAACCTATCTGGATTCATATCTACTGTGTGACTATGTGTGTAGAAAGCAGTCACACTGTGTCAGAGCCCCATCATCTGGAATATGGTTTTTCTTTCGGCTCCCAACTTCAATGTTTATTTATTTAGTCTCACCAGTCAAGTTAACCCCAGTTCCAGACTTAACATGGGCTGTTTTCTTTTTACATTACACATTTTGATGTTTAACTATTGGTAAAAACCCTTATAGTGAAACGTCTCACTCTTGCAACTGTAAGCACTTGAGTTACATAAGTAACCTAAATGTTCGGCAGAAAAACAACCCCCCCCCCAATCATAAATTATCAGCTGACGGCACATTTTATAGCATTACATGTATATAAGAACATGTTTGCTACCACATAATGACACGATGATATGTATGTATTGCATGTTGCACTTGCTCAATATGGCCCAAACAATACTTAGCTTTGTTCCGAAGTCGTGATCTCTCATAGTCACTCCACATGTTAAATATGCGGTTATTTCTAACTGTACTGTATTTAAGTGTAAGGACATACTATCAGGTCTGAACTAGATTGAAAATCAACACAAATATTTTTGATTAATCATTATAGCATTTTTTTTTCTTAGAGCCTATAATGATGTTTTGAAATGTTATTCTGAACGAAATAAAAAACACAGGCCTATGTTCTAGTTAAAGTTCCTTATTAAATGACACTATCAATTATTAAATTCCAAAAACTTCAGCTCTATTGAGACTCAGTTGTACTGCATTCCTCCATCGCTATACTGCGAGTGCATTTGCTGCTCTCATTTCTATTCATTTTTATTCCTTTTGCAATAAAATGGGCAGACTGAATAATTAATTAATCATTGCCTTAACAAGACTATGAAATGAAAGTCCTACTTGGCAAGATTTCGCGTGCTGTAGTAAGGCGGCTTAGTTAACGTTTTACTGATGCACCAAAGTCTGCGGCTGTGCAATAATGTATGAGGAGCGGGAAGGAGGCTCAGAAGGAAGCGACAGTTCAAAAAGAGACAAACAGAGACAAACAGGTCTGTGTTTGCCAGTCGCTCTGCTCGACTAGGGAGGACTGCTGCAGGAGAATCAAGACACACACACGCTCACACACATGTACGCACACATTTCCCTTTCTCTCAGTCAGTAAATGGTGACCTGGTTGTTCTTTTGCTCAGACAAACTCTCACATTGCCTTCAGGAAGGAATAGTATGAGTGTGTATGTGTGTGTGCTTTTTTTGCTTGTGCTCGTGCATAGCTGAATGCGTCAGTGTCAGTGCCAAGGTGTAGGCCATTGTTGTCTGGCCCAAAACAAGCGCCTGTCAGCCCCCCCAGCATGAATAGACAGGCAGGGAGCACAGCCGAGACATAGGGCGGATGGAGGGGAAAGGAGAAAAGAAAGGAGAGGAAGAGAGAGCAATAGAAAGGGAAAAAAGGACGATTGAAGGAGAAGGATTAGACAGCTGTTTACTGCCATCTCCGGAGGCCAGCAGCAGTCAAAGCTAAGGAGTTTGTCAGCCTCTGGTGGTACTACCCAGTTTACTTTTCATCTACGCCATTCACCCCTCTCCCTCCATCTCACTTGAATTGCTGGATCAGCCTAACAAACTTTGTCTCCACCCTCCCTTATGTTAGAGCAGATCTTAGTTTGTTAAAGTTTCCCTCCTCATACTTTCTTGCAGTACCTGTGATTTTCTAGATAAATAACACTATAAGCCCAAAGGTCTCATTAGCACTTCTCATTCAGTGTGATGCTGTGATATTGTGTCAAACGATACGGATAATGTTTTTTTTAAATTTAAATTAATTTTATTTCCGGGGGAAAATGCACTTTCAGTGAAAAAGGTTTTGCAGATGTCACCCTGGACTTTTTTTGTTGTTATCTTTTTACAACTTGATCTTAAGATAATATTGACCTGTATTTATTCCATACTAATAGTGCGGATTTTCATGACCGTATAATACTTTTGCCACTTATGATCTTTATGAAATACTACGATGTTGAAATCCTTGATTAACCCTTTTACATTTAAAAGGGTTATTTCCACTTAATTTGGTCATCTTGTGACCCTGTATTTTCTTTGTGATTCCTCCCTCTTTATGGAAGTAGTTGATATTATTTGTACATGTAGACATTTGTTGATTCACAATTTGAAAGATAAATGATCATAACACGTTTTGATGCTGAGGGGAATTGTTTTGCAGCAGTTGCAGGTAAATGCAGGGAAGAGTGGCAACATACATGTGTGATGAAGAGCTCAGCATGGGGTTCTGTTTACAATTATCAGAGCTCATTGACCTTCATTTACTTGGATGCTGATACAGTAGGTGCTGCTGGCGCCTATGGATTGATGGGTTCTTCTTAAACTATGTTTACATGAATATGTATACATTTAATCTGTCAAAAAACGTCTGGGGACTGAGATGTTGTAAAGTGTTGAGTATAAGTATTTCACAGTGTGTGGAATGTTTCACTTCTATAACTATGCAGAGCTGAAACGGAGAGTTATGACGCAAGAAAATTGTGAATTATTTACTGCAACACTAAATATGCACAAAGGTATCTGAAAGAGCATGTTGCTTTTCTCACTGCGCAGCAAAGCTTAACCGTACCCACTCCCTTTTGAACAGTGATCAGTGAACAAGTCAGAAACCACACACACACACACACACACACACACACACACACACACACACACACACACACACACACCCACACACGCACACACACACACACACACACACACACACACACACACACACACACACACACACACACACACACACACACACACACACACACACTGCAGACAGCTCTGCATTCTCCCAACTGATTTTCAAAGGCTCTGCATCCATTCTGTGTTTGCTCTGCGCTCGCTCCCTGACTGCTCTTTCATCATCCACCCGTCATCTGAAAAGCATCTTAAATGATTATGTTTTAGCTTCTCCCTTCCCTTTTTTTTTTCATACTTAATCTCGCCTTCATGTTCACGCTCCATTTGGCTTGACGGCACAAAGGTGAATCATGAAAGCCTTTTTTGTTTCAGATTTGTGACATTTTCATTGCTTAAGCTCCCCTGCTCTGTGCCTCGGCTCTGTTGACGGGGACCCGGTGTGCTACGCAACATGATTTCTGCTGTCGCTGTTGTTCGAGCTGGCTCCTCCTGGGGTGAAGATACACGCACAAAGAGAGAGAGAGAGAGAGAGAGAGAGAGAGAGAAGACACCGCAATTTTACTCATGGGATTTTGCTCCTAAATCACCCAGTTGTTGTTTTTTCATTGTTTTTTTAAATAAATGCAATTAGAGAATTGGTTAAGTGTTCCCCTCGGCCTATTAATTTCCAACAATTAAAGTGCGTGGTTCAACAAAACATATTGGCAACTTTCTTAAAGTGAGATTAATTTGGCAGGCAGGAAGCTGAGTGGGCCTTTGTGGATCTGGTTATCTTTCCTTAGCACATGGGTCTAAGCTCTCCAAGCCTGGTGGAACGAAGATGTGTGAGTGCAGACCGAGTGTGAGGCTATGTAGGTCATTTGGATGGTGTCTACATCACAAGGTATTTAGATTGCTTTTCTTGATTGCCTGCAAAACTGACAGTGTTGCTATTTGTCTTCCATGGCACTGCTTTAACATGTAACTGACTCCTGATTGTCTTCTATCTATTTGTGACTAACCAAAGATCCTGTCCTTCTTATTTTAGCTCTCTGTCGGGCCGCATTGTTGGAGGCGTCTGGTGGTTCTTCACCCTCATCATCATCTCCTCCTATACTGCCAACTTGGCTGCCTTTCTGACAGTGGAGAGGATGGTGTCTCCTATAGAGAGCGCTGAGGATTTGGCCAAGCAGACGGAGATCGCCTATGGAACGCTGGATGCCGGCTCCACCAAAGAATTCTTCAGGGTGAGGAACCGAGATTCAAACATTCATTCAGACCATCAATGTCTACCTGTGTGACAGATACACAGCATTCCTGCTACTGCTTCACAATGAAATCAACCCTGTGGTTAGCAGCCAGTTGGACGCTTTCAATGTGAAGAAGCATCAGAAGTTATTTTAGGAGTTACAGCAAACAGTAAGGCTCACATCCACACGATAAAATTACACACGGTAATACTGGATATCATGCATCCTTCATTTCCCGTTGAATCCAGCATAGGAATGGCCTGCTATGCCGCTAAAATAAAAATTACTATATAGTTAGCTAACTACAAAATGTACATGCATTAAATTGCTATTGAAAACAAATGCCAACCATAGAAAGTATATCAAAATGATAACATGGAACATTTGAAGTATTATAACAATAACACTCGAGATGCCCGATGGCAATTTTCTTCTTCAAATTTCAAAATCTGATTGGCCAATTCAGATTTTTGCTAAATCCATTTATTTTCTCTCTGAGAACTAAAATTGACAGTGTTCAGTAACCTTTCAATTACAAATGTTTAAAGAATTGTTTAAATTGAGTTGAAAGTTCATAATAAAACATTGACTTATCCAAAATGGCAACAGGTTGGCCGGCATTCTTGTTGTCAAACCCTTGTTAGGTTTTACAATCTTGATTTCTTCTTCATTCTTCACGGAAATGTAAAACTGATAGGCCGGTCACCAGTCGAGGCAGGTTCAAATTAATATTATTCAAATCTAATTATTTGATGAAAATGTAAATAATTATAGCTTCAAAACAGCATCATGTATCCTTAACTTAGAGTATTCGCACTGACATTGTCTCTTTCTCTATCTTCCCATCTCTTTCTTCAACAATTCTGGCCTTCAGAGGTCGAAGATCGCCGTGTTTGAGAAGATGTGGTCGTACATGAAGTCGGCCGACCCGCCTGTGTTTGTCAAGACGACAGACGAGGGCGTGATGAGAGTCAGGAAGTCTAAGGGCAAGTATGCCTACCTGTTGGAGTCCACAATGAACGAGTACATAGAGCAGAGGAAACCGTGCGACACTATGAAGGTGGGAGGAAACCTTGACTCTAAAGGTTATGGCATCGCCACACCAAAGGGCTCCCCTCTCAGGTAAGCCCCTGCCACTGCAGCATGGCTAGATAAAAGAGCTCCATAAGAGCTTTTAGTGGAGCTTGTGCATGAGCCTCATCCGTAACCTGTTGATTTGTCCATTGACCTTAGTTATTGAAGCCTTCATGCATACTTTTCATCACAATACAACAACATGTCAGTATTAGTATCCTGTGTTGTGCTCAGAAATAGAACGCATGGCATCCATTTTTACAGCTTCATTTAACTTAGCTTTTGTTTTGCACACTGTCACATTTACATCTTCATTATTCCAATGTTCAACACTACCAGCCATCTTTAATTGTGCCTGCATATGAATGTATGCAGATAGCCTATTCATAGCTGACTTGTGAGCAGTAGCAGAAGTGTAAAGTAGGACTATGAGATGCACCATCCTGTTTAAGCAGCACTTGTTTTCCTGCTGCCATATAATTACATTCTAAACCTTGATGAGCATGTGTTGTGGCTAGTGACTGCTTTGAACCCGAAGTGTCCCCTTCAACACAAAGAAACTCGTACAAAATGTAAATGCACCTCTCACGAACCAACGAGGCCTTTAAAAGCAGGATAACCATTTATGGAGGGCTTCAATCCATATGGCTACTTTTCCACTTACGCCGAGGCTCACACTTCAAATGATGTCAGCGGAGATGAATTTATATTTGCCACATTCAATGTGATAATGAATGTAATGAACAATAATTCATACTCGATGTGCTACCTTTTCATATTACATTAACACCCTAAACCAAGTTCCCATTCATATGTTTCTTGGAACTACAGAGAGAGCGCAGGAGCTGGTGGCATCTGAAGCTTTAACCTCTCTTTATTAGGCCTCATTCAATGAAAACAGCCATATGGGGAGATTTTATTCAAACTTACTTAAGATACATTCAGGCTTTCCACCTTGTTTGACAGCCCCAAGAAAGAGCCCGCTGTCTAGAGATGTCGTTAACGTCTTATTCGAGGCTCCATTTCAATTTTCATTACAAATACAGTTCAAGCAGCAACTAAGTGTTGTATTAGTGACAATCTAACTGGTGAGAGTAATCTGCTCACAGGTCATTTCAGATTGCTCCAAACCTATAATGTAGCAATGTGCTGCTGTGTTGATCAGCTGAGGATGTCCCCATTATCTCTTTCTCTCTCTGTTAATGTGATATTTTATATTCTGTGGACATTCGCATATGTCTGATACTGAGTTTTGGCCACATATGACAAACATTCATGACTGAGTATGTTCCTAATAATTCATACATATTAATGGTTAAAGGAGAACTTGACTACTTGTCACCTGGGGTCAGACATCAGGGGATGTTCACTGAATTCAAAGAGTTGGGTTCAATGATACCTGCAATGCATTGTTAATGCAACGATTTGCAATTGATTTGACTTTTTCTCTCTTTAAAACCTTTAACTCAGAGTCTGGGTTATTATTTTAAATGCATACCGTACAGTAACATACACAGTTTACGATATTTGATTACTGGTGATGTGTATGAATAGAGGACTTACAAACAGCACAAATATTAGTCTGTCCATCCAACTTTTCAAGCTAATTTCCGGGACAAAGTGCAGAAAATATACTTTAAGAAAACTTCTGTGCATCCACTTTTGGTTATAAAGCTAAGTCATAATGATACTGTCAATATATTAAAAGCTTACGAATGTTTTCACAAGTGTAGAGTAACAGTAGTACCTTAACACATCAAAGTAAGCTCACTGCAGCACATAAACAAAGCAGAAAAGAAAATATTTAATATGATACTCAATCTGCTTATTAAGGTCAGTATTGGGGCTGTTCTGACCTGACAGATCTGAGCCACTGGATATATGACAATACATATGCATTCTAACATGCGTATTGCAGTGCAGGTCTAATTGAAAGTAGCACTTTGAAAATAAAGATACTAAAATGACCTAACTCTTCATTTTACAGGATGTACTGACGACCTGTCTTCAAACTACACGTCTGTGAAATGTTCTGTATATATTCCCCCTGCTTCATTTTTACACGTATGATTTCCAGCCACCACCATGCCTGCCTGACTGTTAAACTCATCCCACCTTACATGCAGTACAGTAGCCTGACTGACATATCTGCTCACTTCAAACGTAACAAGTGACCTGCAGGTCTCCATGTTCACTCACTTTGACTTCTTTTATCTTGCCTGCTTACTCTGGGCTGAGAAAGAATTCAGAGGTTTTACCAGCTCCGAGGACACCTGTGTTCCCTACAGCTGTGTTGTTTATTAGGGTTAGGTGGGAAAGACTCTTCTGCGTCTGTTGGGGAGAAAGGCACAATACCAAACTCAAATTTTACTCCACAGAAGAATTGACACTGATTTGAGAGAAAAAACAATCTGGCAAAGGCTGTAATCTTCACTTCTTTTATGCAAATTCTGATTGCAGAGTGTGCCTTTCTGTGATTTGTGGATGGAGAGAGTCTTTGTCCGTGGCCCGTCAGTCAGCTATAGGAAATACACACACACACACGCTCACCAGAGACAGAGAGCAAGCCTTGGGGAGATGCTTTGGATGAGCTGCTTCATATAGATTCACGATCAGGACTCCGTCTACAGTTGGCCACACAGTTTCCTTTCAGCCTGATTAGGAAACAGCTTGATGTGGAATTGAACCTGGCAGTTAAAACATTGAAAACCTCAGTCTGCATTTGTATCTTCTTACAGTTCAAAATGAATCAAGACAGGCTTCTATTCACTGAGAAGCACTTGTGGTTTGAATATTGATGGGTTAGTTACCATAGCAATCTGTATGCTGGTGCCACTGAAAGGAAATTACCATCTGTAGACCGACTTCCGCATCCAAGGCATCTCCATTCACAGTCTGTGCTCTGCCTCCTTCTGAGGCCCCTGATGGTAAAACCTGACTCTGCTACTGTATGGGCACTCAGCACTCTTCAGCCCATTGCAGATACACAACTAACATGCATCTAAAGACAACACTCCTGCTCCATATCAGTAGTCACATGCAGGAGTTTCTAATAATAAGTCAATGTTTTCATAATCACCACCACCATGCGACCAATCTCTTTATATCTGTCCCATAGAGTGTCTCCTAATGGTTATCGTTTTATCATATTTTCAAGAAACCCAGTAAACCTGGCAGTGTTAAAACTGAACGAGCAGGGCCTCTTGGACAAATTGAAAAACAAGTGGTGGTACGACAAGGGAGAGTGCGGCAGCGGGGGCGGGGACTCCAAGGTCAGAGCCAGTTTGATAAACCCTGCGGGTAACCCACCACCACTGGGAGTGGGAGGTTGTGGGGAGGGGGGCAACCGGCAGGCCCACACTGCACTGCCACTCTAGCAACACTTAATCTCTCTGTGGTGTAGCGAAAGGGCAAAGAAAACGTGCGAAGGGGGGTGATTATTTGGCCAGCGGTGGCTATATTTGCAAACCACAGAGAGGGATATTTTGTATCATGTCCCCTGCTTCAACTAAACCAGCATTGATTATTTAAAAGTGATCAGTGTTTATTAATTAAACCATCTGCATCCCTGGTGCTCAATCGTGTTTTAAGAGCCCATGCTTCTATTTAATTCAAATTAGATGTTAACTTTAGCAAATTACGCCTTTCACAAAAGATGCAATTGGGACCTCCGTGTTGCTTAAGTGACGTTCGCAGTGTGCCGGTTACCCCGAAGTGATATAGTAATACACATCTAGTGTCTCAGGGAGCCACCAACCAAGCTAGATGGAGTATTAATGCATATCACTTTAACTCTGATGTTTATAATGATGTTTCTGCTTTATATACATGTGTGTGTGGTGTGTGTGAAAAGGTGTTGTTTTTTACATTTTAAGCAAGCATTAACGTGTGTATGTAATTGCTGCTCTGTGTCTCTGAATCAATAACATAAAATAACATGGTATAATATGTTATTTATGTTATTTTCTTATGGTTGGAAGAATCCCAGTAAACCTAGCGGTGTTGAAATTCAATGAGCAGGCCGTCTTAGACAAACTGAAAAACAAATGGTGGTACGATAAAGGGGAGTGTGGCAGCAAGGACTCCGGAAGAAAGGTTAGTCTCCGACCCAAAACCTGTCCCCTCACACCACCTCCAAGCACTACCCCTGATCCTAGACCAGCCCCCAAGTCCAGCCCTCAGCCTCTATTACACTGAGCAGTACCCCCCATGTGGTTCTAGCAGTACTGCTGTATTGGCCCGAACATAAGCCAAACTCCCATGTACCAGTTTTAGGATAGACTTAAACATGGGCTGAACACTATACAGAACAATATACAGTAGGCAGATACACTGTGCTTAACATATATTTAATTTGTTTGAATTGCAATTATTTTTACGAAAGGTTTTATGTATATTTATGAAAATACAGTTTGGGATTATTGACTATTATAGAGAATCAATATTTAAATCTGCTAAAGGAAATTACTGAATTAAATCCTCTTGATTTAATTAAAAAAATTGTTTTAGTTTGAAAGTCCTACTGTTGAGAATAAATGATACATACGTGTAATGCCGTGATCAGCAAGCACTTTTAAACGTGGGAATTTGTTTAATTGGGTTTGACATTTTTCTAGAATGACAGTCCAGTCCATTTTTGCTGTAACATTCACATGTGGCAGCAGAACCGTTCCATAAGTTAAACAGAGTCTGCCTGATTTGTAACTGGCCAATGCCAATAAAAAGACCATAGTTAATGCCAAAGCAAAGTTTAACAGTAGTAGAAATAGAGCGGGTTCATAAAGTCAGCAGACTGACTCAGTTATGTCAGTTGAACCACAATATCTTTCTGGGGTAGGCACACATTAGCCATCAAAAGTTAAAATCATTGTCTTATATTCGGGCCATTACTCCGGTGTTTCTCTTGTGTCTTTTTTCCCTGCTGAGTTTGTTTTTTTCAGATATTTAATGTTCATTGACAGTGTGTAAATAGATATTGTGTGGTAGATTAGTTAGGATTGTAAGAAAATCCTTATTAATCCACCACAACATGTTTTACTAAAAAAATATTTGTTTTAAATATATAACCTCTGCAGTCACCTGCAAGTAAAAAGTGGTATGAGTAATTTGTATTCCACTTCCAGTCCCCTGAAAAAATTTCCAACCTCTCCAACATACAGATCAAGTGTGATGATAACCTTGAGTTTGTACTGTAGATTGAATATGAATCAGTTTAAACGCAATCTGCAATTCCTTCCCAAGGAAAAAGACTAAGAAAAGCAACAGAGAAGGACGTGAGGGGGACAGATGATGACATTAGGCATTTGACTTTGCTTAACCTTTCAAACATGTTGAGCTGTAACCTTTTGCGTTCTGGTCCTTATAATAATCCTGCCCCTAGCACTCTGCACTGTGTCCATGTGTGGATGCAAACCCTGGCAATCTGCTAGAACGACCCTGAGTCACACCAAGTCTGCCACTGTGCTCATACATTATCAGTTAAAGCTGTCTTTTGTTTCAAACAGTAGTTTTCCCTGACAGAAAAGCTTTTTCTCTTTAGCTTGGGTACATCTGAATGTGTTTGTCAGCTGGCCTTCTGAACCTGTCAACACAGTACTAGTGCCAACCTTTTTTTCATCCTTTTCCTTACATTTGGATACTCAAGGACAGGGGTGTGAAATGATGTGCCATGACGGGCTGAAGAAATTGAGATTATTTTATCCAAGGATGTATCATAGAGTTCCATTTAAGGAGAGATTTTGTAGGATAAACAAAATAGAGTTTTGCTAGTCTACAGTCACATCTATATTTAAATCTACTCCGCAATGACATTTGAAATCCCTTATAGTAAAGATTTATTAATTTTGCAACATACATTGACTTGTAAGTTATCATTTGACAGTTTGGGAAATGGTCTTGTTGCTTTGGAGCAGAAAGTTATATAATACGATTAATACCACTGAATACCGCTAACTACCTGAATGTAGCTAACAACAGCCAACAGCTAAAGTTAGCTTAGGCTAGCAGAAGGATAATCATGGGGAAAGCTATGCTATCTCTGTCCCAATGGGACCAATTCTGCCTACCAGCACCTCTAACACTAACTGATTAGCCAGTTAAACCTCATATATAAAAACAAACAAGTCCAAATGTCCCTAGCTGTTTACACATGTCGAAGTCTTAATGCTAACATAAGCTTTCTTAACTGCCAGTGCTGTTGATCTTTTTATCTATCACTCTGCAAGAAGGGAAAAAGCTATTCTTTAAATATTTGGTCAGCATTCACAACCTGAATATGTGATAGATTTGAAATTACGCAAATAGCTGTATGAAGGGCTTAGAGTCTTAATAAGTAGCTTTTTACTTTGGGTGGTATAATTTTTTTGTTTTTGTTTGGACACACATTGTATTTGAAAACATTTTTAAGGAATTGGTGCATAGCTAGGACCGACTCCAGGAAGATTAGCAATTATAGCTCCCAGTCCCAGGGATAAACAAAAATGTAGCAGAAGAGAATTAAATGGTCTTTCAAATGAACCAGTGTAGTCCATGTTTGATGCAAACAGCTGCAATCTCTCAGTCCTCCATAGCACATCGTTTGACACATATTCCCTGGTATAAAATGTATTTTCATCATTCTACTGACTCACAGGGTATCCACTTTATCGTTGGTCAAAATTCAGAATGAATGTAATTGAAATGCTAATTTTCCCATAGGCTTAAAAACATTTGGTATAAGTGAATAGAACAAATACAAGCCCAAATGTAGAGGTAGAGTTCAGAGGCATAATAAAATGTTTTCATGTTCTATTAATCTCCTCAAGTGACACAAATATATTCCAAAAATGGATTTACATAAAACAACATCCTCATTAGACCCCATTGTTTCACGAGAGCCCTTTAGGTTGACTCATTTAAGTCTTAATGGTTCCCTTTCATAACAGACTATAAATAGGCATAAATGTGAGTTAAGTGCCACTGCAATAGAGAATAATGACCTATAAAATGGAGCAATGTCAAACCAAGATTTGTTTGTGCTGTTGTTGCATGAATGCATGTGTTGTGGAGTGCATTTTACTTTACCCCTTAAAAAAATATATATTTTTGAAAAAAACCCATGTGTTTCAGTATTTGACTTTAAATGTTAATATAGGTTTTGTTTAAAAAGCTTAGTATTGTATAAATAAGTAATAGAAATTCTAGATCAGTATTTATTGTCATCTTCTGGGGCCTGTCTCACAAAGCGAGTGCATTACAGTCAGCTTTTAAGATATGCCTCAATAATATGGCTCCCACGTGAATATGCTAGGTAGCCTGAAACAGGGAATACATGTCTTCTTTATCAATTGAAAGGTTTCAATACATTTGCTTGTGATCAGGAGTTTGATTTCCCGAATTAAAACAAATACTAAATTTAATTTAATTTAATAAATGCCTTTGACTAAAATGTACATTGAATAAATCACTGGGAGATAATTTTGGGTGTCCTTTTTTAAATCAATAAAGTTGATGTCTACAATGCATACGATATGCAGAAGTGGATTTCACTATTTGCTTTTTTGAACAATGTTTTCACTGTTTCTTAAGAAGCCATTGAGAGCAGCATTGACTACACTACACAACTGAAATATATTTAACAATTACACTCATTGTACCAGTTGGTGTAGAGCAGGGCTATTCAATTAGTTTGGAATGGGGGCCGGTTGATGAAAATGATCCAAAGCAAGGGGCCGGGAAAAAGATGGCTTGAAATATGAGCAATCATATTTAAGAGCTTCAGATACAGTAAATACTACAACAGCATAGTGGAGTGCATATATTGTGTTTAATTCAATCAAACAACATAGCCCCAAGGCCTTTATAGATCTAAATGGCAAGTTCAGAACTCAGTAGGCCTACATGTTTCATTTGATTTCATTTAGGTGAAATTATCTAATCATTCACGCAGAGATGCAATCAATGACAGGAGTTGTCACTACAGTATAGTAGGTGGGTTCGAAACCCGAGCCCGTCGAAGTTTTCAGGCATTGTCTACCCCTCTATCTCTCAATGTAACACCCTCTCTGGAATAAAGGCACTATGGCACAAAAAAAAGAAAAAAAAAAATCTTAAAAAAAAAAAAGATTACTTTTTAACATTATACTCAAAGGGCCAGTAAATATCACCCCGGGGCCGGATTTGAATAGCCCTGGTGTAGAGTTATGTTGAGATGTTAAAACCTCTACTTTAAATGTTACTTTGTGAGACAAGCCTCCAAAATATGGTTCCGTTAAAGATGTTTTGTGTGTGGTGTGTTTGTGTGTGTGTGTGTGTGTGTGTGTGTGTGTGTGTGTGTGTGTGTGTGTGTGTGTGTGTGTGTGTGTGTGTGTGTGTGTGTGTGTGTGTGTGTGTGTGTGTGTGTGTGTGTGTGTGTGTGTGTGTGTGTGTGTGTGTGTGTGTGTGTGTGTGTGTGTGTGTGTGTTGTCCTCTGGTCTTTTACTATACGTGTTATTTGTATATTATATGTGCTGTATTTTGTCTCTATGTGGGCCTAGTTCGTCTTCAGGGTCATCTGTATAAAATGTGTGTACTCTTAAGTGTGTATGGGTTGGAGTTTGTGTATATGTATGTGTTCCTATGCTGTAATGTTTTTAAGTTAAACAAATGTTTGTCTATAATTAAGTGTGTGTGAATCAGTGTTTGAGTCCCGTGTGTTTAAAGCTGTTTTGTTGCCACTATCTTTCCTCACCCCTTGGCTCTGCCCTCTTCCCTCCTTCCCTCCCTCCAGGACAAGACGAGCGCTCTGAGCCTCAGCAATGTGGCGGGGGTCTTCTACATCCTGATCGGCGGCCTGGGCCTGGCCATGCTGGTGGCGCTGGTGGAGTTCTGCTACAAGTCCAGGACCGAGTCGCGCCGAATGAAGGTGTCCACCGCGCGAGCCGCTGCCGCCTCAGCCGCTCAGGCCTTTCACTGCTCAGCCTTAGACAGTGGTGCTAGCGCCCCCTACACAGAGCTGCAGAGCTACGGCCTGTACGCCAACAACACTGTTAAGATATAAGGGCAGAGCACAGCCATGGGGTAGGAAACGCTGTGATTCAAACCATGATGATGATGATGATGATGATGATGATGATGATGATGATGATGATGACATCCGCCTCCTCACCCTTCCGCCCATCTAACCGTGATCACAGTAGGGCCTCTGTTGGCTTCCACCGCAGTGCAAACGCTGTCCTGTACCTCTCTCTAACTCTGCCGCTACCTCGCTCAGTCTTTACGTCCCTGATCTACTGCAATGTTGTTGAATCACTTAATTCTAAAATTGCCATTATGCCTGTTTTTTTAATAAAGTTTACATTTGTAGCACTTTAGCTGATATTACAGAACTACAGAGCCAAGAGAGAAACATTACTGTAAAGATCATCGTTAAAAAAAATATATGGGGTAATCTTTCTGAAATTCACAATTATTTCTGTTCATCCACAACAGGAAGGGAAACGATATTTGCTAGGTTAAAACATGTCATTGTTGTTGTAATACAAATGTTTGCCACTACAGACTAAAAGTGCACCACTACATTACGTTTTCCCTTAAGATGTAATATTTCTGTGCACTTCAAACACATATACTGTACTTACATTGTGTTAAGTACTTTTTACTGCTAATTTGCCGTAAGGTAAAAGTCAAGTTCTTTAAGTCTTCTTATTTAAAGGGGTAGTGGTGCACTTCAGCCTCTTGTGGCAGACATGAGTATTACAACAAACTGAATAAAATTAATATATTTAAATCTAACTTAGAAAACGTTTTTTCTTTTTCTAACATGCCTCTCAGGGCAGTTAGTTTTGCAGGGTTGAACTCATCTTGAGAAAAGGTTGTCTTTAAATGTACCTTTTGCTCTCATCCCCTTTACACTATTATATTGACAATGTGTTGATATAAAGATTTGATTTATATGAGTTACTCACTGACTTTGATTATATGAAATCCAACTAATTACATGCACATAAAAAACGCAAATTCTAGTTAAATCCCATTACTCTACTCATTTATATAATCTCACAAATGAATATGTTTTACTACTTTTACAGCACAGGTATAAAGGCAATTTGAATTACAGTGGTACATCTACCTACCTCTGTCGCTCTGAGCAAATCTCTCCTTTGCTCCTTCTTCTCTTTTTGCTGACTGTCTCGCAAACGCAGGGCCCATTGTGGTGAACATCCTTTATATGTATACCATAAGGCAGGCCTGGTACATGTGTGTTATCACTGCTTTGACCTCGAACAGTCTAACTCAAATTGTTGTCTGTCCAGAAACTAAAAGGAAGGACTTGTTGCTTGTTATATTCTATCGGGAGATGTGAGATTCCACCTGACAGCAGTGATATTGTAGCTTTTAGTCATCTGCTTCATGGATCAATTTGCAACAAACAACCTTTGATTCGTTCTTTCAACATCAAAGGCCCTCGCTGATATACTCTCCGTGTAAACAGCGAAAAAGACAAGACGGGGCCAAGACAAGGACTGATTTTCAACATGAGTCTCTTACGTTTTAATCAGCCCACGAAGAGGCTCCTGATCAGTATGCTGATGAGATTTGCGAGCAGCCTATTAGTGCAGAAGTGCCTTTATGCTGTTTGGCTTGAAAGAAACAACAACGGCGTTCCAATTAGAGGCTGGTGTGAATCTCCAAACCCCATGCAGCACTCACCAGTTCCTCTAGATCTCACTCGCTTTGCCCAATTTAATCCGCTATAGAATAGGGGGTGCAGGCAAACACTAAAGACACACACACATTAGGTTGGCTTTCAGGCTCAGTGGCTTTTATGACGCTACAATGGGGAATGAAGCTATTAAACCAATGAGTGAAGCCTCAACCCCCTTCTTACTGCCCACACATTGCTCTGCTCCTCCTGTTGCAGAGTGGGACATTGATCGGCCGGCACCACGGTTTACCACCCGCGAATATCACTCAGACCCACATTAAGAGGGTGGAAACCGGCACCCGGTGACTCCTAACAGCTAAATCTGCTCCTGAATTTCTTGGCGGGCCAGCAACACATTTAGATAGAGACATAGAAAGCTGCTTAAATTCATCTTATAAAGAAAGAGAAACTGCATAACCTATCTTTATTGTCCTATATTTTAAAGTCCTTTTATAGTAATTGTCTGCGCTGCTACCTCTAACTGTTGCATTAACTCTGCTCTGATTAGGATATAATGCATGCATGTGTGTAAGAGTGAGATCTTGCATGTGGACTAACTATAATCCCTTTTATGTTTCTGTCTCCAGCAATCCATCAACGACGCCATGCGCTGCTCCACCCTGACCCGAATGAGTGGCAACGGAAGCGGCGGAGAGAACGGACGAATCCTCACCCACGACTTCCCCAAGACCGTTCAGACGCTGCCCTGTATGAGCCACACCGCCAGCATGGGACTGGGTGCCTCCGGCATGTGATCCTCACATGACTGTGCTGGCGGCGAGGAATAGGCAGGGTGAGGCAGAAAAAGAGCACAAGACTCTAAATCTCAAAAATCATGGCTGTTTGGTTTGACCCATCTTTCCTCCTGGCTGTCAACGTGCCCGACTTGAACAAGACTTTACCTACTGCCAAAATGCACTCTCGAACCGCTCATTACAAAACTGAGACTCGCAACATTTTTTTTAATAAGTGGATGTTTGAAAAAACAGATACTGAGAAAAAAAAAAGGGATTTGTGCTGCAATAAAGAAGCCGTCAACGGGGCGTGTTTTTGGAATTTTTTACAGTGTTAATTTTTGTGGGAAAAAAAGAACTTTATTGTTTAGTGTGACGCCTGCGCTGTGCCATTTCGATGGAGCTGTTGACGTAAGTCTGCGTGTGCAATATCTTCACTTCCACTGCTGACCTTGTACTACCTAGATGCTTTCTGATGGCTGATGGAACATGTCTTTGCACAGATGTGGCAGGGGTGGACAAACACTTGTGACTGCTACAATGATTTCATATTGTTTTGGGACACTCCTGCTCTCTTTCCCTCTCACATTTACACGCCATTTTGGGAGGACAAAGTGCTCTGCGGAGCAAAGACAGATTTTAAGATAAAGTATATGGTTTTACAAAACTGTAATAGCGCAAAGATATTTGTCACAAGGTTGATTTCGATTTATCCGCAACTGAAGGTGAACACTGTTTAGATCAGCAGTTGACCAGGCCACAACAAACATGCATTGCTGCTACACCTCATTTAACACAACATGCCTTGTCTTTGTGCCATATGACCATTCTCACACATACACACAGATAAACACAGATACACATTGATACCCACTTGTTTCTCCTGGGACAGAGTTCATATTTAGTCAGAGATTCAGAAATCACTTGACCTAAGAAAGGCTATAAAACAGGAAAAAAACAAAACACTGACACATTACTCCGTGGCTTTGTACAGTACTGAGTGACCTTACACTGTATTCTACTGTTGTGACATTCATAGCATATCCATTGATATACTGGGGAGTCTATTTGCAGCAAACATTGAAGAACAATGATTGACAGATTCAGATATAATCTGCAGAAAATGTTCTTCAAACTATTGTTGGAGCTGCATAATTCCCTCCCTCCTGTGATGTATTTTCAGCTGTATTCAGTTTTTATTGATATGGGCAGTGAAGCCACTCAATTCATCCCCTGCAGATCGTGCGCAACCTATAAAGGGGAAATTGGCCTCCTCTAGCTAGCTTAGAATTGAAACATGCGATGTGACTGGCAGACTCACCTTCACATTTGTCCGTGTTTATTAACAGTCAAGGTTTCCGTTTGTCCCATACTGCCTGGCTGTAGAGTTCTTCCTTTTTCAGATGTCATGTAAACAGAATTAGAGCGGCGGGTCCTGAACAGCAGAGGGCAGAGATGACAAAGGGCAGACTGCCTCGGTTTGGCATGTTAAACCAAAATTCCACCATTTCAATACTTCTAACACAAAATGACTATTGGTGATGTGCTTTGCATTTCTAGGGTCGTTATGTCCGTTAGTGGTACACACAGCCGAAAACGGACTTGGGGTCATAAAAGGCAATTTAAATGAAAGAAAACAATAAGGCTGGCATAATTATATATTTTCTTTTTGTCAACAAATATTGTGAAAAAACACAACAACAGGATGTCATCTATTTGGAGGATTTAGCAATATATGACAGAAGGCGTACATATTAAAAACATCTCACAAATGTAATGTGTTAAATTTAAAGAATGCTTGTTGGTATTTTTGCTAAAACAACTGACATGGTTATGTAGTTTTGTGAAAATGTTACTTAAACAGAAATACATAGAGCATTTGTTGGGAACTATAATTCAGCGACAGATTAATACACAATTGATGCACTGGTATATATACTATATGAAGTATATATAACAGCCGGGAAGTGTGGTACTAAACTACAGTGCCCTTATTTATAAGTTAATTAAAGAATATTTCAGCCAGAAGCTGTGGCTCATTCATATGTTTTTAAACAAAATACAATAGCAAATAATTAAGTACACAGGCGAAACTTGATTGTAAGATTACTTTATTGTCAGTTGTAGTCTTTTCATAGGAAATGTTGACAACAAGAAGAATATTGAATGTGGACAGCCTCATCCTTTAAACTTTAAATCTTGTAGGTGAAAACTGCCATAGCTGGAATAAAACGTGTAATAATGCTTCACAGCCCGAGGTTATATAAAGGGTACATTCTGTGCCTTCTTCCAAAACAAGCATCTGCTCCTCTTATCTTTCCACCTACACACATCTTCCACTCTCATTTCGGGTAGATGAAAGATGAGGAATAATGTATAAGAAATCATAAAACTGCAGTAATTCATCACAACATATAGGCCTGAAATGCACTGAACATCATCATCTCCACTCCCGGTCGACATCTGAGAGTCAGACAGTGTCCAAAGGTGCGGTTTTTACTTTAAGGTGACATGAAGGTTGTTGCTTGAAATGGGATTTTTGCTGCTGCTGGATGCCAGAGGTCAGCTGTAGATTATGTACGGCACAGTCTTGCTGACCTCTAACTTCACAGCAGAGGCCAAGCGCCTGTACAAAGGCGGCACCCCCTGCTCCCACTGCTGCCCGCATATTATTTTTCTTCTCCTCTGAGTTTCTGCTTTAAAAAATATAGTACCAAATCCAATGTATGACCTCTCTCTTTGTCTAGATTGTCATACAAGCAAGAAAATAGGCAGTCAGAGTTTACTGAAATCATACATATCTCCACCTATTATGTATATAAAAGGCTTTTCTCTCCCCCCAGTGAAATGTTTGTTCTGCTCCCATCATGCCTCAGCGTACCTGAATTAGTTACCTACCGCGTGAGTACTTTTCCTTTACTTCCCCCATCTATGCGTCTTCTTTTGCTGATGTTGTATTAATTAGAACACGGCACAGCTCTCTCCAACGGAGGCTTTACCTTCAGACAGATGTTTTATATGCCATAAAAGATTTGTAAAAAAAACAAATAATAATAAAAAAGACACTCAATGTTTGTATTATAAAGGAGAGTTGGGTGCCGGGAAAGTGTTATACACTTTAACGAGTGTAAAAAATAAACACACTGATGTTGAGTAATCTGTAGACGCTAATGTTGTTTTAAGCCAGTTTTGAGTTCATTTCATCTTATTTTGTTGCAATTTCAAAAAGAATTTCCTGTTGGTGTTTTGTGCTTGAAATTTAACACCATTTGAATATTCTTTGTCGTTTTCCTTTTTCACAGTATTTTACTACTGGAATCTAATCACCAGAAACATAGTTGTTTTTTTAACTTTGGAAAGGGTTGTAAGGTTTTAATATCAAAACGTTGATCAATAAATGGTTTCACAGTTTAAAAGAAAAAGAAAAGTAAAATAATTCAACTATTAGCAATCAGACTTTTGAGAAATAACTTTTTTTTTCTAGCCAAAGTGTCCTGGAAGGAAGTCATCATGCTTTTGTAACTGAATAAAGGAATAAACTATGAATATTTGTTCAGTTTTATTTCAACGGGATTTGTATAAATCACTCCTTGCCTCGGGCAAATGGCATGATATGACTTTAGATATTACACGCAGAGAAAAAGAAAGTGCTGCCTGGGTCAGGGAAGAGTGCAGTGATCCAAAAAAAGGATGTGTGAATAACAAAAGGAAATAGCCTCTGTTACATGATCTGCAAGGTAATTCGAAATAAACTATTTCTGTCGTCTTGATAGTCCTAATTTTTGATAGAGAATATAGACTATATTCACCTTAATATGCATTGCAATCCAACAACAACCAAACATATGTAAACATAATTTACATGTTAATTACTAAGTAAATAGAATCAATATGACAAAAAGAAGAAAACTGTATTTAGTATATTATTTCGGAATATTTGTTTTCCATTTTTCCATTATTGAATGGCAGAGTGAGACAGAGATAATACATGTGGGGGGACTGAGCGAGGGAGGGAGGCTTATGACATGCAACAAAGACTCATGGACGGGTTCAATTTGGGGGCATTGATGCTAAGGTAACAAAAGGCCATCACATAGACTGTATAAAAGCAGTGGATATATTCACACAACCCAGTCTCACGGCATTTCGTGTTATAGTCACGAAATTAATTTAACCTATTGATTCGTGTTCACCAACACAATTTTCACATTTTTTTCGTGTCACACAGAATGTAAGTATGTTTCGTGCCTGCACCACGTCTTTTTGTCCAGTCGGGTCTTGGAAGACCGGAAGCTGTGTGGTTCATAAAAACATTTTCTTACTCAATATCTTACCCTAAGCCTAACCCTAACCCTTTTATTTTAAATAGTATAATGTCTGAGTTTTTTTGCCGTCCGCGAGGAAAATAAATGGGGCAATGTTTTTCCTTCTAATTTGTTATTATTTACATTACTTTTAAAATCGTTCGTTGGGCATGTTTGGTGTGTGCACCAGTTACCAAATATGGTTCCTCGCCCGATAAAGGGATAAGGGATAATTCAATCCTGTCATTCATTTGAGATAGATTATTATGTAAATCTTGAATATTTACAGCATTCATTTTTGGGAACTAGACTCTGTCCTCATCACACCCAGCAAGGAACAGCAAGCTGAGCCCAGCAGGGAGTGGGGGGGGATGATGATAATCACTTCCCCCCTGGGTGTATGTAAAACTCAGAGCCTACAGCTAGATGCTGGTGGAGGTGAGGCGGAGACATTTTAGAATATAGATGTTAAAGACTTGAAGAACGATTACCTTGTCAAATGTAGCCAGTTATATCGACAGTCATTTGGAGTTTGACAACCCGCGTCTCTGCAAAGCTTTTTCCCAATCTTTATCCTGTTCATTATGAAACATCTGTGACATTACTTTTTTAAATGAATTCAACGGAACGTTATGAACATAAACATACTGTGACATGTCAATTACTATCTGGTGTTTGTTGACAGATTCTCAGCGTACCTATATGTGCAAGATGATACATCTCTGCATGATGAATATTTAATAAGTTTAGTTGTTGTTCTCACTTTGAGTGCATACATTTAGCTATGTTGTATGCTATAATTATGGCTATTATGATGGAGATACAAATATAGAATGTGTCATTGTTTGATGAAATGCTTTTTGTGTACATTTATATTTGTGTGCGTTACAAATACTGTAGATAGCAGGGTGGCATGCTGTGTCACAGCCTATGATTAGTGACATCAGCTCCTTCTCACTCTGACAGCCGAAGGCCTGCTGTATAATTAACATCTCTCTTTCTCTGTCCTCAGCTAGGTGTTTCAACCGGGGATTTGCATTTGTCTTTTCTCTCTCAACTACAGATATTCCTGTTTATAACTTTTTTTTTAAGTTGTTGGAAGAGACTTGTCATACACTGTGATTTCCAGCACCCACTTAGTTGAATGACAACAGACACTGTACTAACTTCCTGTCCTTGCTATAGGATTGGTATATGATTTTCCAGGGTCTACCCACTTCATCACAAAACATGGTAGCTCTGAGCTAACACCTCAGATTACATTTTATCTTGGGAGAATTAAATCATGTCCCCAGGTTTTAATGAATCAGTCCTTATCTCAAATTAAATCTGGATGTGTCACCTGCCCTGGATCATTTGAGGACCAGTAAATCATCTTTAATTACGATGTCCTTCAAAACTGTAATGTCTTCAGGAGTACAATAAAAAAAGTTGATATAATGAAAAGTCTCAAAAACACCCAGAGGTGTAGCTTGCACTGATGATGGTGAAGGCAGTACATGTAGGAGTGAAGAATACATCTTGTAAAAAACCTACAAGCATAAAAACAAAGAGGTGTGAAGTACAGGGCCAGTCATTGAAAGTGTATGCAGGTTCATTTGGTCCAGGTGCAGATGTCTCACACTTTCTGTCTCTCATTAGAGGATCTTTGATGATAAGTGGACACACACACATATACTAATAATCAGATCTGCTGAATGGGAGAGTTTATTAGCACCTGGGATAGTCTCCAAGAGACCTCGACATACACAGGTGTTGACTCACTCACCTGTTCACTTGTGGATCTGCTACAGTTTATTCACACAAAATAAAATATATACTTTACCCAAAATGTAACATTTATTAATTGCCTATTAGTTACTATGGCTACACTTGTCAAAATCTAATTATAAAAAAAAGACTTCAAACAGATAGATAAAAGGAAACTTCTTTCTTACACTCTCAAAAGATGTCAACCAGCAGATTCCAGTCGCTATCTAACCCTTTAATAAACTTCAAATACAAACTTAATGGCTACATGCAATAATGATTCAAATATAAGACATGAAAATAAAGAAATTATAATTCAGTGTAGACTACCTCTGATTCATCCAAGTCCCACCATTCTCTCAGTTTTGTTCCTCCTGTTAATATCAAATTATCTACTCATAATATGGAACATGTGCAGTATGTCATCTTAACTTTAAATAACTTTGTGTGGTGGGGTGGTGTGTATACATATTTATATTGAATCTTCAAAAGGGGATAAAGGACCGACAACGCCACCTGGGGGCTTGCACCCCAGGAAAAAGACACAAAAAGGAAATCCAAGTAATCAGGACACTAGGTTCGTAAACTGAGGCGCAGAGACGCGTTTCAAAATAATTTAATAATTTACATGTAATAAAAAACAGAAACTCAGGAAATGTTGCTGCAAGATACAATCATTGGTTAACAAACAATATTCAGTTACATGTATCTTTATTACACAAGTTTTTTTTAAATATGTACTTAACATTTTACATTAACTACTAATATATATGCTACTAAATCTAGACCTGACACAGGCTTCAGAACACGGACAAATATCCAGAGCTTGGCAGGTCTGCTGTGCCTACGCTATCTAAGCTATGCTCGGACCATTGCTGCTGCAGGGGACGATCAACACACCACTACCCTTGCATTTATTTTTTGCAAAAAGTATTTGCTTACTTCTTTATGATAAAAAAGCATAATATAGATTTTTGCTTTGGGTGTTTTGTTTTGTAAATTAGGTATTTTCCCAAACTCTCTTCTTTGTTTCCTTTGCATTTTAATTATGCAGTTATGAAGAGAGTTTGTCTAACTTGGTTTCAGTTTCTCCTCCTGGCACGTGAGCCATGTTTTTCCAAATAGAGGAGGAAAGGAAATCAATAGTGGTGAAGATGCTGCTGCCCGCTCGTGTTGGGGAGACAAGGTTAAGTCCTGCCGCCATCAGGGAGGAAATGCTTGCTCTGCTCTTGAACAGCTTGAGTAAATGGCCTCAGTCTATAGCAAAAGGGCAGAGTCACACATATCTTCATAGATGTTGACTCGTCTGCATTACCTTTATCTTGGCAGTCACTTGTAATCCAACGGTCTCTTTCTGTCCTCTGTTGTCCCTGCCCCATGTTCCCTCCATTTCTGCTGCATACACCCACAAGCAGCTGCAGGCAGTGGCTGCACATTTCTGTGTGGGAGTTTTTTTATCCCGCAAGTAAACACGAGCAACGACATAGACACAGTCATGGACATGGGTGCACATAAGCCCAAGCACACACTCTCCGCCCACGGAGATGCTGCAAGACTGAGTTCAATGGTATGCAGCACCCCTCTTCTCTCATCCATCCAGCCCCGAGGCCGTATCTCTACAGTACGTCTGACAGGCTGGCACTCACAGCAGGATGAGATCTGAAGACTATCTAACGGCACATTGGCAATACACAGAAATCGCCTCAGGACAGTCTTAGTTCTTGCTTGATTCACAAGAACACTGGTATATGCATGTGCATGCCTCTTTCATCGCACACACACACACACACACACACACACACACACACACACACACACACACACACACACACACACACACACACACACACACACACACACACACACACACACACACACACTTGACGTATCAATCGTAAACAAAAACAAAAATCTGAAATTTACATAATTCATAATCTTGAAATGTGAAATCCTTACCCTTATTACGGAAAAGATTAGTTCAAAGGTTAGCGCCAAAAGACAAAACGATCATATTTGAATTGTGCCATGAATGGTAAGGCAGTTTGTTGTTAAACTGTCGACCTAAACATTTGAAAGACTATAAACACCCAACAGTCTGGAAAGTGATTTCATAACTTTCTCTCTTTCTGAGTGTTTCATCCTTGGATGTACTCATGCGGGCAAGGGTCAACTCTTGCTAATTTTCTGCTTTATGTCAAATGTAAAGTCCACCAGATCTCGATAAAATGCGTCAGATAAGATAACACTATTGTACATGGAACGTAGCTAAGTTACCTAGCTAGCTAGTGTCGTTGACGTATATTGCGCGACACGACATTATGTAGTTCATTGAGTGGTTTACCATAAACTATGACCATCTGCAATTTGTTGACTTGCCAAATAAGGTCCCAATAGGCACTCTGAAATGGAGCGACTTTGCCTCTCTATGCTGGATTTAAGTTGTGTTAATAGACTAACTATTTTCTGTCTAGGGTATGAGTAAAACGAGCCACA